GGGGGGGGCAGGGTCCGATCCACTGCGGCCTCACTGGCTGGCAGGAACATGCTTGGTGACCCCAAAGTTATGTGGGGAAATGCGATCCCCCCTCCCCCGGAGTGACATGGACACAGGGTTTGTGCAAGCCCCTGACAAGATTTTTCATGACTCTTCGGACCTGCATGTCGCAAAGATGTCAGCGCACGTGGCACCTTACAGGATCGAGTCCATCGGGACAGCGGAATGGCCACGCTGGACCAGACCACGGGTCTCTCCTGGCCAAGATCTGCCTCCAGCACTGCTCAGGACTTTCACAAGGGCTCTGCACCCAGGAGAGAACAATGGACCATCCCTCCTCCCGCCACTAAGAACAATGGAAAATCCCCATTGCCCCCTCCCGTGAGAACCAATGGGAGCAGCAAAGTGTTGAGCATTTGGGGACATCTGGCGCCCATTGGTTCTGCTGAGCGCTTTTGAAAGTCTGGCCCCTAGTGGATAACTATGGAATAACCTACCCATGGGGCAGTTTCTTCATAGTCCCTGTCCGGGAGAGGTTTGCTCAGTATAATAAGGATCAAACTACTAGTAACTTTTCCAGCAATACAAGGACGGGCGGGGGCGCCTTCTCTCCAAACAGCCTAGGGAGGAGCTTCTGTCCCTTCATTCCCAACGACCATATGAAACGGAAGGGTAATAGTTTGTTCTTCTATAGCGGTGGTTCTCAAACTGTGGGTCGGGACCCCAAAGTGGGCCACGACCCTGTTTTAATGGGGGCACCAGGGCTGGCGTTAGACTTGCTGGGGCCTGGGGCTGAAGCCAAAAGTCCAAGCCCCACTGCCCAAAGTTGAGGCCAAAGTCTGAGGGCTTCAATGCTCAGGTTACAGCCCCCACCCACCCAGGGCTGAAGCTCTCAAGCTTCGGCTTGACACCCACCGGGGGGTAGGGCTCAGCCTTCGGCCTTGGACCCCCAGCCCCGGGCCGGAGGGGCTCAGGCTTTGGTCCCCCTTTCCGGGATCGTGTAGTAATTTTTATCATCAGAAGGGGGTCATGGGGCAATGAAGTTTGAGAACCCCTGTTCTATAGCAATGCAGGATCTCAAACGCACTTCACAACCTGGAGCAGATTTAGCTCACAGTACCCCAGGGAAGCGGTAATTATTCTCACCATTTTACAAATGGGGAAACTGAGGCACAGAGCGACGCAGTGACTTGTCCTCCAAAGTAACGAATAATTATAAGAATCCTTCCTTTTTCCCACCCGTTGCCTACCGTGCTGACGCTTAGTGTAGGCTCTTCAGGGCCGTCTCTTACTCTGGGTCTACACAGTATCTAGCACCGTCGAGCCCTGATTTAGCTGCTACTGGGACACAAACAATGGGACACGTGATCATAATTTGCACCACGCTGCAACCCCATAAGTTTGCCACGGCGTGTGAGATTCCACCTCATGTTGCGCAGATAACTCGGTTTCACAAGCAGAGCAACGCATGTGCCGTGGGGTCTGGAAAATGCAGCGCCAGTCAGGTACTTAAAAACCTTTGTTTAGGCAGAAAATAAGTTTAAAAAAAAAAGAAGAAAGTGAGCCAGCAAGTGAGAGTCCCGCTTCTCCGCTCTCCACTAACCTCCCCGCAGCTCTGGGCTACTGCCTGTCAGGAGTACAGAATCACTGGTGTACAACTGATGTCTCCAAGGGATGGTAGGTCAGTGACCCACATATCTTCTGCCAAGCTGCCTTTGTGTTGGAAAAGCTTGGAATGATAGGAATTCATTACAGCTCCCCCCCAGAGGGGCTATTCCCAATGGAGGCATCTGCAGGCGCTCTCATACCCTAAAGGGGATTAGATTATCTTCTAAATGCTGAAACCTGAGCCGGCCGCAGAGTTCAGAAGGGCCCAGTGTGTTCAGCCCCAGCATGCAGCAGGCTCTTGCTGAAATCCGTGGGGTTGGTGAAAGTGGGGAGGGGGAGGGATTATTCCAGATTAACGGTCATCTCCAAGGCCCTGATCCAAAACTCATTGAAGTCAATCGGAGCCTTTCCCTGGATTCCATTAGCTATTGGATTAGGCCGTAGGTGCTGAGAATCTGCTGCAAAACTAGTCCTGGTGCATCCACGCAGTAAACAGACAACGATAACGAATATAACGGGGCTTCTTTATATAGGCTGTTGGACACGGACAGATCCTGTGGTCCCCTCTGGTTCCCAGACTTACACAGCCTACGCTGCCCAGTCCCCCACGCTAGGTATCTCTAATCCTGACTGGACCAACCAGTGAAGGAAGGACTATGTTACAACCACGTCGCTGACTAGCTTATGTAGGGCCCATCACTGTAGTCTCTCCGGCTTGTGCTCCCCTGCACAACAGCTTAATGACTACAGCCCCCCAAGAATGAGTGTCAATGGAAAACAGAAGCTGCAAGTGAATTCCAAGGCAATCCGAGTAACCATGTGGACTTTAGAGCACAGGAAAGAGTCGTGCTTTAAACAGAAAGTAGGTTTTAACCTGAACTAGAGCAGACCTGGTGGTCCTTTATAATCCGTGGGAGTAAGTTTTAGCTGTAGTCACCTTCTTCCAAGATGCTCCTCACTCGATCAGTGTACCCTAGCAAAGGGATGTTGCCATTTGCACGTTGTTTGTGTCCAGGCTGACCAGGAGGGGAGGAGATGATCTGGGAGATGGTAGAGACTGTTTATATTAGGCTTGGGGAGAGGGGGGTTGTCATCTTTATCTCCCAGTGCAGGATTGCTCTGCCTGGGCAGGATCCCGCCACTGTCATCACCCTACTGGCTGCTCATGCTGCTCCTTCTCGCTGTGGCTCTCGGAGGACTTGGAAACCATCCGTGCAACACCCCTGGGAGAGATCATCCTTGCTTTACAATATGGGGAAACTCAGACACCAAGAGGTCATATCACTCTCCTGGGCTCAGACAAGTCAGTGGCCGATTTGGAAATAGAACCCAGGCATCCTGACTTCCAG